CCCCCTCTGCTGACCTGGTCGCCCCTAACTGCCCCCCCCACTGGCCTGGTCACCCTATGCAGCCTGCTGTTCAGTCATTTGGTCGCCCCTCACAAACACCCCTGCCAGCCTGGTCACCCCATGCTGCCTGCTGTTCAGTTGTTTGGTCACCCCTCACTAACCCCCCTACCAGCCTGGTCATAAGAAGCCATCTTGTGAGGGAATGAGGGTTAATTTGCATATTACCTCTTTATTATATAGGATGCCATACAGGGTGTTGACTTTAGTATATTATTTATACTTAAGATTATCCAATAACACATAGGCAAAAACTTTACCCCTTCATAAGACTTGATGCAACCTTTGGATCTCTTGAGTTTCTATTCTTTTTTCTGTAAACTATGTATCACTAGCATGCATGACCCAGTTCTGGACTCACAAATCTAAATTCCAATCAAGTGCTCTGTTATACTTAATGAACATTTCAATGACATTCTCATTAGTCACCTGTTATAAACACTAAAAGGGTTGGAATATTTTTTCCAAGAATTAACAGCTAGTACCTTGTGAAATGAAGGTGTCAACAAATATAAGAGACTAGTCATACACAGAGGCGGAAGCATATAAAACAGAAACATCAGAGTTCTAGATGTTCTAGATGGGGCAGGATAGAGAGAAGTTAGGGAATAATCCCGACAAGTGGTGCAAGGAAGTAGGAGCTGACATCCTCTCACCAAAGCCCCATTGCTTCTGCACATGATCATAAGGAAACAATTTAGGGCAGGAAACCCCTATGGGGTCCTGGAAGTCACAACAGCAAGGTCCCCTCCCTACCAGGAGGCAGAGACAGAATTTGGCACCACAAAATTTAAAATGGAAACCCATAAAATCCCAGGAACTAACTGACCATCAGTGCAACTTGGCAAGTTGGCCCTCCTCCACTAGGACACGTACTTTTTGCTTCTTTCACAGAGCCACCTGGACCCTTGCCTCTTTCTCTTTCTCTACCTGAATAAAAATTGCTTTGTTCTCACTCTGACTCATCTTTGGAATCTTTCCTGACTGAGTCAAGAATCTGAAGGTCACCTAACTTCAGAAAGATCCCAGACTGCACTGGGGCAAGGCCAACCTTCCTCCTCCTATCCCCGCCCCCCCCAACACATACACATAGACTCACACAAACCTCCCCTGCACACAAGTAGTAGGATAACAAGGACAATCCCATGGGTTATTGAAAGGTACAGTTTCAGTTCTTAGCTATGTGGGAATATAGTCTTATAGTTCAGGTGTACTATATATGACTCACTTTCAGAGGAATGGTGTGAATGTGGCAGTGTTAGGGGTTGGGAATCTAGATAGAAGTTTTGCCTTATAATCTTTCTCTCTAACACCCCATAAAGCCTCATCTTTTTCTCAGACTCAGTATCCCTTCTTCATGCTCCCCTACCCACTGTTCTTCCAGTGTTGGTGTTTGACTATCCTATGCCATCTGAGATTGAGAACAAAATTGTTTTGAAACTAGGCTCAAGAAACAGAAAAGTTAGAATGGGAAGTGAAGTCAAAGCACATCCTATGATTATAGCAAAAAATAATACTTTTTCCTATCATCTTTTAAATTCTTCTAGCTGGGCTAATCAAATTAACAGAGACAGATTAGCAGAAGAAAATCAAATTTTAATATGTACCCATGGGAATTCATGAAAATTCCAAAGACAGTGAGGCAAAATAGAGTACATATGTCATTTTGGACAATGGAAGAAAAGGGGGGTCAAGATCTTAGATTTCAAAAGTGAGAATGGATGATTTACAGGAAATTGAGGAAGAGCAGAGCACACGTGGCAGGCAAATCTTGCTTCAATGAGACACAGGGGAGATCTAGCTATCAGGAGCCTGAGGCCATCCCATTCACCATACTCAATTAGAATTAGGCTAAGGCAAGCATCCTAAGATTTCCTTCCTGAGGAAAGACGAAGGGACAAAATTTCTTTCTGAGTCTTTTGCTTCTTAATAATTAGTTTAAAATCAATATCCCAAAAGGCAGCTTCAGGGTGGCAAAACTGTAGCTTCCTTATCTATCTATCTATCTATCTATCTATCTATCTATCTATCTATCATCTATATATTAAGGGAGAGAGAGGAGAGAGAGAGAGAGAGAGAGAGAGAATGCTATTAAGATAATTATAGGCAAATAACTCCAAAAAAGTACTTGAAATCACCCATGATATGTAGATTGAGGTATAGGGTAGAGGAAAGAGAAAGCAATAAAGCCCCTTTTGGAATATGTCTCTCTATCCGAAGGTGTCTCTTATTTAACACTTGGGAAACATGATCACATGTTGAAGTGAGGACAATGTACTCTTCTACTTTGGTTACTATGAAGTTTTGTCAGAATTGCAATCTTCCGGGCCAATGTTTACTTCCTTCTGTTGATAGCCATGAAGGGACTGAGGATGGGGTGAGGGAGGAGTGGTATAGGGCAAAGATCTTGTAGTTGGAAACTGCATCTGTCATAGATGTTGGTGTTTTGGATGAAGAAGGGATAAGTTGGACTGTGCCTGGTTAACCAAGGCCCCATTCTAATATGGAAAAATTGGACTCTATTGTGGAATATTTGCTATGTATAGAAAATGGTCTATTTTAACAAAGCGAATAAACTTTTGTCCATTGTTCATAAGGGAATTTATGTTATCTTTAGTGTTCCTTAATTATTGTATTTCTTTCAGTTTTTACTTTTGGGTAATGTCTGGAAAAATGTTTTTGATAAATGTGTTTGTAAATATAGGGTTTAATTTTAACCAAATAAATCTATTTAAGTCAAATAACTTTTATACTGTGTTTTGACCCAATTTAAACTGAATCTGATTTTGATTTATTTATGACCTCCATTATTTCCCACAGCTATTTGAGAAATAATAGGTTTTTCAAAATATTGTAATATTAAGATGTTTATTAATAGTGATTTATAATTTACAGAGCTGTTAATATGCATGTGTTAATTTCACTTGAGTCCCTTGATATTATGGACAAGAAAAAGGGGCCACATGCCTAGCCGGTTTGGCTTAATGGATAGAGTGTCCAACTGCGGACCAAAGGGTCTCAGTTTCAATTCCAGTCAAGGGCACATGCCCAGGTTGTGGGCTTGATCCCCAGTAGGGGGCATGCAGGAAGCAGTCAATCACTTATTTTCTCTCACCATTGATTTTTCTATCTCTCTCCCTCTCCCTTCCTCTCTGAAATCAATAAAAATATATTTTAAAAATAAAAATAAATAAATAAATTTTAGAAAGGGGCCACATACTAAACCTGACAAGATCTATAAACTCAGAAACCAATGGATGGCTCCAATGATCTGAACATAAAAATTCCTAACTAAAAGTGAATCATGGCTGATAGTCACATCCTAGGCCTGTGGCTTCCAAAGGTAAATCTTTACCTTAAGTAAGCCTATCTACTGTCTTTTTTAAAAAATATATTTTTATTGATTTTGGAGAGAAAGGAGAGGGAGAGAAAGGTAGAAACATCAATGATGAGAATCATTGATCGGCTGTCTCCGGCATGCCCCACATTGGGGATCAATCCCTCCTGGTTCATAAGTCAATGTTCCACCACTGAGCCACACTGGCCTGGCTGTCTATTGTCTTTTTGCATTCAAAGTAATCCCCTTTTTCCCCTCAGGATACACCCACCAGACCAGAGCAAGGAGATCACAGAATCCCTCATTGGTATCTTCTTCCCTAAATACCACCTCTATGTTCTGTAAATGTTAAGTATTAACTATCTTATACCAACCAATGTTTTTTAAAAAGTACATATTTGTCTCTCAATTTTGTTTTTTATCCAATCTGAGTTTCCTGCTTTGCTTTCTCCCACCTCCTTAATCTACCACCAATGTATTTCATGTAATTCCCTGTGGGAAACCGTTTCTTATCTTCACTGGCTGATAAGCGTAGTAGACAGAGACCCCCCCCTCCCCCCCCCCCCCCCCCCCGTGGGGGGGGGGTTTTCTCTCCCAC